CTCAAAAGTAATTGCAACAAAAACAAAGACCGACAAGTTGGACCTAATTAAATCAAACAGCTCTGCACAGCAAAAGAAACTCCCAACAGGGTGAAAAGAAAACCTACAGAATGGGAGAAAATATTCACAAACTAGGCATGTGACAAAAAAGGTCTATTATCCAGAATCCATAAGGAACTTAATAAGCAAAAACAACCCTGTTAAAAAGTGGGCAAAGGACATAAAAGACATATAAGCGGCCAAGACACATATGAAAAAATGCTCAACATCACTAATAATCAGAGAAATGCAAATCTGATGGTGTGAGGTACCATCTCACACCAGTCAGAATGGCTATTACTAAAAACTCAAAAAACAACAGATGCTGGCAAAGCAGCAGAGATAAGGGAACACTTATACCCTGTTAGTGGGAATGTAAATTACTTCAGTCTCTTTGGAAAACAGTTTGGAGATTTCTCAAAGAACTAAAAACAGAACTGCCATTAAACTCAGCAATCCCATTCCTTTTATTTAAAAAAAAAAAATAGATTGTCCTACCAAAACATACCTGCACTTGTATGTTCATTGCAGCACTATTCAAAAAAACGCACAGAATCAACCTAGGTTCCCATCAACAATGGATTGGATAAGAAAAATGTAGTACATACATACCATGGAATACTACACAGCCATAGAAAAGAATAAGATTATGTCATTTGCAGCAACATAAATACAGTGTAGGCCATTATCCTAAGTGATTTAACACAAGAGCAGAAAGCCAAATGCTATGTGTTCTCACCTAGAATTGGGAGCTAAACTCATGGACATAAAAAAAGCAATAATAGACATTGGAGGCTACTAGATGGGAGAGGGGGGCAAGGGTTGATAACCATACTCACTATGTGAGTGATGGAATCATTAATGTCCCAAACCTCAGCATCATGCAGTATATCCTTGCAACACACTGCACATGTACCTGTGAATCTTAAAGTTATAATTTTAAAAAGAAGCACAAGGGATTGTCTTCAATATAGTAAGAGAAAATAACTGCCTACTTAGAGTTCTACACTCAGCAAAAATATACCTCAAAATTTAAAGCAATATGATGACTCTCTCTGACAAGTAAAAAGTTAGAGAAAGTTTTAAAATTGATTTCTATTTTTATGACTAGTAAAAAGTTTGTCTTCTGTAGAGCTGCACTGAAAGATATTCTAGAGCATGTAGTTCAGACATAAGAAAATAATCATCGGTAGAAAGTAAAGCTGATGGGATAAAAAGGAAAGCAAGAAAAATGGTAAATATGTGGGTAAATCTAAATGAATACTGATTATGTAAAATAATAACATGTTTAATTGTGTTTTAGATATATGGAGAATTTAAATAAGCAGTAATAATAGCATTGAATTTGGGAAAATGGTAATGAATTTTTAAGTGTTGTGTTGTCTAGGAGGAGGGTAAAGGTATTAATTAACATTTGATAAGTCAAGGATATGTATTGTAATTTCTAGAATAACCATTAAGAAAAAAGAAACAAAGTGTACAAGTTTCAGATTAATGAAGGGGAAGAAACTTCAAACTAGAAAAACCAATAAGAAGGCAAAGAAGAGAGAAAAATAGAACAGTTGATATGATGGAAAGTACAAAATAAAATGGTAGATTTAAACACAAAGGTACAGTTGTTACAATAGACTAATTGCTGTAAGTAGAAGTCTAAGATTGTCCTTCTGGATCAAAAAAAAAAAACCAAACAAACTAATAAACAAATCCCAAATATAGGTTATTTAAAAGTAACATATCTAAGACATAAAAACAAAAATCAATTTTAAAGAAGCAAAAAAAAAAAAAAACATAAAGAAATGGTGACAGCAACTAGAAAATATGCTCCAACAAAATAAGAAAATAAATTAAAAAAAAAAAAAGCCATGGCACTGAGGAGACAGGGGATTGGCATTGGAAGACAAAGAGTTATGGGAAGAAAGTTTCCAGGTAAATTAGAGAATAAACCCTTTGATGCCTCTGAGTTTGGGGGTAAATATCAGCTGATAGGTATATGGTATCTCTGATGAAATATTTAGAAAAATTTGGATATTAGCTTTTTAAAATTACAGTGAAAATAGAAGTAATAACTCTAAAAAAATCCCATAAAACATTTCTTTCGGACCAGAAAGGAAATGCGATCATATAATATGAATTGATTCCACAATTTAAAAGTGTTTGCCCAATCTCAATGTAAACACTATTTATTGATTGAGCTAAAATCTGTGATACACACTGCTGAGCAGAAGAGGCAGGACAGTGGAATGTAAGAGAGAGGAATACTTACCAAGTAAAACAGAAGTCACTAAATGAGGTCAAAAAGATATAAATCAAGAATTGGTAGTATAATCATATTATTTAGAATTATAGAGGTAAGTGCCAGAAAGATCAGCTAAAATAAATGAAAGTGACTACCTCCAAGAAGAAGGAGGTAAGGGTTGAAGAGCAGTGAGACAAGTGCTGTTTATAAATATGAGCCTTCTGGTTTTATTTGGTTTTTAAATTATATACATGTATTACTTTGTTAAAATTGAAATGACAAAAATGAAATCAAAACTATCCAGAAAATCGAAGCAATGAAGGGACCCTTTTTCTATCAGATATAGCAATTAAAATGGAAATTAAAATTGTAATGACTTTACATAGAAATGCATAAGTAGGTATCAAAATATATTATAAATTATGGTAGGTTAAACAATAATTGTCACAGTAATAAATAGTTCCATGAAACAGGATACATAATCAAGTCAATATGGCAATTCAGTTCCTGATAAAGGCAGCCTTTTAACAGCAGTATTTAATCAGTAGGGATAGTTATTTGATGACTGGCAATTCATTTTGAAAAATCAGCATTAGATCCCTGTCTCACACCATACAAAGAAAGAAATTTCAGTCAGATCCAAAAGCTAAATGAAAAACCTAAAATTTAAAAAAGAGAATGAGATAATATCTGTATGTAGTGACTTTGAAGCAGGTCTATAAGCTATTTTTAGGTGAAAAAAGAAAATAGGAGCACAGTATGATTAGCATAATTCTATTTTTTAATTAAAAATACATATGTGAGTTTGTGTGTGTGTGTCTGTGCATGTGCATGTGTATGCATGTGAGAGAGAAATGCAGGGGAGGGAGCAATCGAGAACAACAAAACAACCCTAGAACGTGCACTAAATCGTTAATAATAGTGATTAGATTTTCGTGGTGGTGACAATGGAGAGATCATAACCAAAAAATGTGGGAAAGTTGTCAGTAAATAATACTTTCATTTTCTCCTTTTTTCACATTTTTCAAATAAAAACTGTTAAAAAGAAATAGGTTAAAAGAGTTTGAAGTGAAGTTTTAATCTTAACCTTTAAATCTGTCCCTCTATTACCTTGGAATTTATAAAAACTGTGCTCACACATAAATCCTGTGTATATTTCTATCCGCTAAAGCTTCTGTGATCTTTTTCTTTAAAAAAAGTACTGTATTCAGCTTTTGTAAATAGGAAATGTTCTATTTAAGTAACATTTGTTGAATTATTATAATATGCAGAACAAATAACTAGATATGTTATGTAATTTTTCCTAACACCCTGGGTTCAATCTAGAAAATTTTCTAAGGAAATTTGCATGCAAGCCAAGTTAAAAGAGGGGAGTACCCTTTCTAGATTATATCAAGTAAACCCAAGGCAATTATGACAATTTTTAAATTGAATCCTGTACTGTAGAGAAACAAACAAACAAAAAGATAAAAACAGCATCCCTATGTATTATCAGATGTAAGACCTGCAAAGAAAAACATTCATTGAGAAATATTTCTAAAAGTATTTAATTAAGAATAAATCCTGCTAGCCTCTACTGTTTTTAAGCTGCAATGCCAAGATCCTTTTTTTTTCTTTGCAGGGCAGAAAGCAGATTACCAAAATCCAACTGAAAGCAATAGAAAAATGAGAATAGAGTTTTTATATTATCTTGGAAAATCCACATGGATATTTGAGACCTTGAGGAACATGGAGTCTATGTCTTAACCTTTCTATATCCAAGCTCAGTGTCATTTTCATCTTGCTCCATCATTTAATTAGATTTACTTTTTTGCCTGGCGTTGCATTGGACACTGGGCATGTGACAACCTTGAGTTGCTGTTAGCAGAGGGAGTGGGAGAGACATAAGCCAACAGCAATTATAATTCAGAACTCAAATGCCATTCTGGAGGTGTGTGCGAGGGCATGGGAAGCCTGAGCTCAGACTTCTTCCCAAAGACATCCATTACCTCTCCAAAGGTAAGAAGCCACACAAAGGAACAGACAGCAACAGAAAGCAAAAGCATTTTTCCTTGTGATTGCAATGGAATTACTCTCTTGATGTCACTCAGGTAGGAAAGGGTGAAGGTGAACTTGGGAAGATGAGTAAAGCTCTCAGAGCCAGCACTACATTCACGGATGGCTTGGGCTCTTGGCAAGCCAGCCTTGGCCACTACCCACACCCCTCCCCTTGCCTCTTCTCACTTGGTTCCTGGGCTCTGCCTTGTCTGTACCAGTGTCCTGGTGCTGCTGTCATCTGCTGCCTCTTGTCCTGCTCACTCCTGAGAGGTAAGTCCCCCAGACTCTTCTATGCCCAGCACAATCACAAAAATCTCTGATTTTTATGTGCAGGTTCCTTAAATGTTGCAACCTGGACATTTAGCAGGGTGGTAACATTTAAGGAACCATAATTGGCTGGGTGTGGTGGCTTTTGCCTGTAATCCTAGCACTTTGGGAGGCTGAGGGTGGACTGCTTGAGGCCAGGAGTTTGAGACCAGCCTGGCCAACATAGTGAAACCTTGTCTCCACTAAAAATACAAAAATTAGCTGGGAGTGGTGGCAGGCCTGTAATCTCAGCTACTTGGGAGGCTGAGGCACTAGAATTCCTTGAACCCAGGAGTTTGAGGCTGCAGTGAGCTGTGATTGTGCCACTCCACTTCAGCCTGGGCAACAGAGCAAGACTGCCTCATAAATATACAAAATGAATAATGAATAAGAAGTACAATTCAGGGAGTAGCTTCTAGTAAGTACCAAGACCCAGACCTGCCCTCAGTGTCCATTATGTCCCGGTTCTTCTCCAGGGCCCATTGTGGCAGGGAAGTGCTCCAGGCTTCTTCTGCCTCCCAGCCCAGAGAGACAGTATTTTCTCTTATCTCACCCCTCAGCACCCTAAAAGTAGAATGACCATCCGTCCCAGTTTACACTTGATATCTCAGTGTTAGTTTCCCTCTCACTCCCCAAATATCCCCAATTTGATGTTCAGCTACATGATCACTTTGTCTAGACATAATTGGCTCTAGGAAGACTAATAGTGAGACTATCCATTCTTTTCTGGGAAATCCCATCCCAACACCAAGGGTCTGATCCAGCCTATGGGGCCTAACAGTGGTCATACACCAAGGGTCTGGAAGTAGTGCATTTACCAATGTCTGGCTCATTCCGTCTTACAAAATACAATATGTGGGCATCACCAGTCCAATCCAGGTTACAGGATGGCAGGATCAATCCTCTCCCTTTACAGTTGGAGTCCAAACAACCTCAAAGTCCAGCCTGACAGAAGCTCTTCTTATACAACATTCAAACTTATCAGCCACTTGTCCACGGGACAGTTTATGAGCCATGGTTCCCCTTCAAAGATAGGAGCCCCATGGTGTTAGAGGACTAAGCAATTTTAGCAAATATACAAGCGACTAAATATATAAATAAATAAACCAAATAAACCTTTGACCTAAGTCCCAACTCTGTTGGGAAAAGAAAGCAAATATCAGCTCTATCAGTTCAGAAGCAAGAGTCTTTCTGTCTGCAACACTTGGGTGTGAACAGCCACATGCAAAGTGTATCAGACAAGCAAGTTGGTGCTATTGGCATGGAAGTGATGCAAATCTCAGGCCAATTAAAAAATCCAGCTTTGTACTCCCCATTCACCCTCGAGCCCAATCAAACTGAATCAAGATGTGACAGGTGAGAGCTGTAAAGGAACAGACCCTGGTGCCCAGCTGGTCTGGGGGCTATGCACCACATTTTTTCATTCACTCCCCATTCCCATGATTATACTGCAACTGTTGATGCTGCTCCTGCTTTCAAAGCCTCCTGGCACAGGAGACGAGTACTGCACAAGGGAACATTGGTTATGTCTGGGCTGCCCGAGGGCCTCACAGGCTGTGAGTGGCTAAGCTTTCAAGACAACCCAACTCAGCTCCTGCCAGATTTAAAAATTACACTGCCAGCACAGAGTGGCATCCAGATACCCTGAGGGCGTGTAACACTCCAACTTTTCCCATATGTCTGGAACTATGTGGAGTTTCTCATTTGCTAAATTGGGCCAAGTCAGAAAATTTAGACCTGAGTTCTAATTCTAGCTTTGCTTCTAAATAGCTTACTTAACTCTCTAGACCTTAATATTCTCAACTGGAAAATATAGGAGTTGGCCTAGGAAGCTACTAACATCCCTCCTGCTCTGACATTCTGTGGGCCTGCACTTCTCATGGCAATTACCATCTGGTGGTTGTACCTCAGAAAATATTCTCTCCAGGCCTCAGTTTCCTTGTTGGCAAAAGTGGCACCCATACAATAGGCACCTCACAAAAAGGTTGTGGATTTCAAGTGGGACTGTGTACACAGAAGCAGACAGCACAGGAGTGCACACAGTAGGAACTCAATAACTGTTCATTTGTAACATCTCCCAGAGTCTCCATCTGTGAAAGAGAAATAATACTTGCCAATCTAGCTTGTGAAAATGTATATAGAGCAATGAATAGAGATGGAAAGTGCTTGGAATTAAGAAAAGCAAATGCAAATGACAGGAGTTATTATTATGTAAAAATGGACTGAAGTAAGAGTTTAAGACAGAAAACGAACAGATTTGATGTGCCCGATTAATTTATTAAACAGGCTAAAATCATAATTAGAGAAGTCTGCTTAAACCTCTAGACTTGTCTCGGATGAGATTTAAAAATGGAAGGCAAAAGAGGAATCTCAGATGTTTCCATGGCTTGCTGGGCCCAGAAACGAGGCCAAGAGGAGAGAGGGAGGCCGAGGGAGGGGCAAGGGTGCTAAAATGACTGTTAGAGAGGGGAGCTGCTGAAGCCAAGGGAGCAGCTGGGAGTAGAGGCGATGACAGCTGAAGCGAAGGGGTTATTTCAGAACTGCTCGCTGTGGCCTCTTTAGCTTTGGCTCTCATTAAAATGAGAGGAATGAGCTAGAGGAAACCTTGCTTCCCTTTTAATGAGAAAGGGTGAGCCTTGTTTGCCCAGGAGAGGTATCACCACGTAAGAGAGTGTGCCTGTTTCAGCTTAGAGGTCCTGCAGAGAAGGAGCACTCATACCCTTAAGCAGTGGGTTCTCTCCCGGAGGCCTGGAAGGAAGCAGGTGCCATGGGCTGATCGAAACTCTTGGGCAGAAATCCAGGCTTGGCTACAGGTTATTTCTGTCTAACATTTTATTATGAAAAGTCTCATACAGCACAGTTGAGAGCACTTTTTAGTGAACACTGGCATAGCCCCACCTAAATTCTATTATTATGGTTTTACTATATGTGCTTTATTGCATCTATCCATCCACCTATCCCTCTAACCATCCATTACTTCATCCTAATTTTGGTGCATTTTGAAATAAATTACAGGCTTCAATATGTTCCCATATAAATACTTCATTTGATGTAAAATTTACATGGTATGAAATGCACAAATACTAAGTCTACAGGTGCCCCATTTTGACAAACATATGCACCTGTGTAACCCAAACCCCCATCTATCAAGATACAGAACACCATCACCTCAGGGTTGGCTACAGATTTGCTACATGACCTTGGACAAGACCTTGCTTAACTTTGATTTCAGCTGGTCCCCAGCTTTTCTGATCCTGGAAGACTTTTTCCAAGTACCACATTTAACAATTTTGTCTTAAACAATTAAGCCTACAGGGAACCTTGACTATCATTTAGTTTAAGCCTCCATATTATCATCAAAGGAATATGAAGATTGGAGATATTTATCCAAAATCACTAAACTGGTGACACAGTTACAGTCGGAAATTAATATTTATTGAGCAACTTCTCCAAGCCAGGAAATACACCAGGTGCTTTATACGTGAACCCTCACCACAACCTGCCTCACAGGGCTATTATAAAGATGAAATAAGATTAAATATGCAGAGTGCCTGGCATTGTGCCTGGCACAGAGCAGACACCAAATGTCATCACTGCTTTTCTCTTCAGCCCCACATTTACATTTTAACACATTCATACCGCTGAGATAGTAAATGTATATGCTTCGTCCCGTTTAGTTATGACAATAACCCTGTGCATGCTTTAAAGGATAATATAGTGCCTGTTTCTGATCACTGTTAGTGAATGACGATATCACTAAGACTCAAACTCAGTCTCCTGACCTCAAACAGTTTCAGGCAGTGCGATGTAGGAGTTTTGTTTATGCTCCTCCAAGGCCATCTGGAGCTAGAGTGGAAGGGCAATTTGAAAATGCTATGAAGGATATATTTGGTTTAAGTGACAGAAGCCCAACTTAAACTGGCTAAATAGAAGAAAGGGGGATTTATTGGTGCCTACAAGAGAAAGTTTTGGTCACGATCTAGCTTTAGGCATGGCATTGATTGATTTAGGGCTTTATGTGATGTTACCAAAGATCTGACTTTCTCTCTCTCTCTGCACTCCCAGCCCCTCAAGTTTTCTCTTATCTTGGCTCCATTTTCAAGCAGCACCGCCCTCATGGAGGCAAGATAGCCATCAGCAGGTTGTGGTTTACTTCTCTCCAGATTAGCAATCTCAAAAGAAAAAGAAAATTTATTTTGCAACATCTGGCAAAACTCCAAGGATTGGTTTTACTGAACCAGGTTGCTTTGTGTGTCTACTCTTGAAACAATCACTTTTCAAAAAGGACAGAGTCTATTAACTGGCCACCATGGGTTATGAGCTACTGCTCTAACCAGAGTTGGGGCCCACCCAAGGTCACATCACTAGCATAAGCTCAGGTATGGTTGAAAGGGGCTCATTATGAGTAACAAGATACATGCCTATCACTCAGGAAATTCCAAGGGTTTTAGAAACTGAGGACAAAGACAAAATGTATTTTTTTATTATACCACAGTTCTTATGAGGGGATTTATAGATCATGCCTTAAAATGGGAAGCTCAAATTACAATCCACTAGGGTAAAGTCCAGCTGAAGTTCTTACTGCCTCATATAACCACTAAGAAAATGCTGAGCCATTCCCTTATTCCCTGATTTAATAAAAGATTTGGAGTCAAAGAGTCAATGCATTCATGTGTTGGCCTTCCAAGGAAACTTACCTGAATTGTCTCAGGAATCCTTAGTGCCTAAGCCCAGGGATCCAAAAATACATAAGGTCCATCCAAACCCTTCCCAGGAAGGTCTCTAACCATCTATCCCCAAGGATGCCAACTGCCATGCCCTGCCCCCTTGCAGCACTCTCTTACTTCCCTCAGAGATGTTCAGGCATCAGTGAAATTCTCAATAACAACTCCGTTTTAGAGGTGCTTTCCTCCCAAAGGAACTACTATGATGGTAGCCCTTTTGAATGTCAGGCCATGAGGGAGCTACTTCTGCTTACATGGGCCTTGTGGCCATCGTTCCTGGGGCATGTGAGGTGGGATGTGAAAGGGCATGTGCTCATAGCTTCCCTTTTTTTTTTTAGCACAGATGACTGAAATAAAAAGTTGAGGCAAAAATTAGAAGTCAGCAAAGTTTCTTTGGGCCGTCCATCTCCTGGTTTGGTTCCCTTCTCCCACAGCCTTTCCCTTCCCCTTTACAGGTTCCCAGTGACTTCCTCCTTTCACACTACTTCACTGGAGGCAACACAGGGAAGGGACAGGGAAAGGAAGAGCAATAGAGAGGACAGAGCCCAGGAATGCTCAGCATGGTGCATGCAAGAGAAGCACGAAGTTGAGAAGGACCAAGACAAGTGACTTTTGAGTGAATTGGCATTGATATTGCTTGAACATGAAAATGACATTAGAGAAAATTACTGGAAAGCAAATTGCAGATTCTGCAAAACTCAGTATGCTAAAAAAATATGCATTTTTGCTGAATAAAATGAATTAAAAAGTCATCTTGTTCTGTAATCCCAATATAGGCTCAAAAATTGGTCTCAGTGTCATTGGCAACCACCCAGGTCTGTCCCAGCCACTGTCACCTGGACTCTCCATGCCTATTCTTTCCCCATCTATGGCATTCATTAAAGAGGCTGAAATTTGCATGGGATCTTAGAGGGAAGAATAGTATGTAGGGAAAGCATCATGAGACAAGAACTCAAAATGCAGGCTCTAGTCCCCTCTGACAGTGATTAGAGTGAATTAGGATTAATCAAATCCCCACTATGTGTCATAGTCACCTAAGTTTGGATGATAATCCAAAGTTTAGATGATAATCTTTAAGGTTACTTCCAGCTTTGATGTTTCAAGAGACAGTGCCATCTGTTTTCATTTCCCCCCTGCTAATTTCTCCTAAAGTGCTCTAAAGTAAACACACTCCTCTTAGCTTAGACACATGAGTGATAGAGAACTCTGTTTCCCAAGGCATTTACTCCTTGTTAGCCGATTTGTGGTTTTAGAGTCACTCTGTAGTTTCCTCCCATTGATCTTAGTCTGGACACCAGAATAATCCAGAACAAGAGACTGTGCCTGGCCACATGACAGCTGTTTAAATATTTAAAGACATTTTCCTGGCCTCCATTCTCAAGTTATCCTCTCCACTTCCTTTCACTCTATGTAAATGATTTCCAGACACCTCAACATCTTTCTTGCCTATGTGGGGCCCCTCCCTAGTTTATCAATGCCCTTCTTAAAATGTAGTTCCCCAAATTAAATTTTATATCCTTGGGATCTCAGCAGATAGCTCAAGATAGCTCAAAGAGTATCTCTAGTAATCTCAGAAAATGCTTCTCCAAATGTTTTGTTTTTATTAGTAGTGAAACAGCAGCATGCATCGGCTGTTAATGTGGTGGTGATGGTGGCGGCTGATGTTTAAACCAGCTACATTATACTGTTGCTTCGCAGAGGTGGGGTTTCAGCTGAGCCTGAACTGGATTCAAACATGAGAGTACAGTATATGAGGGATGGCTATTAATGGTGACCCACAGGCATTGATCATTCCGTAAGAGGCGATTTTCAGAGAGGAAATAACCTGTGGGAGGGTTTGGTGCCCGCATACCTGGGGTTGGAAATGTGAAGTAGTGAGGACACGAGATGTCATTCAAAACTGGAGCCTTTAAGATAGCTTAGATCTGTGGAGAGTGGGGCTGGGAGTTAAATTAAGGTATACACGAGACTATGTGGGCCTGGGGACAACCACTGACAGAGAATGAAGGAGGCAGCACCCTTCCTATTTCTGCTCATGACCCAGTGGACTCCCATGGAACAACTGCCAGGCAGTAAGCAACAGGCAAGCGGGCAGGGGCAGGATCTGCTCCTAAGGTAGCATGGGTGGCATTCGGAGGATTCCAAGGAAAGCTTACGGGTACTCTGAAGATGAACACCATCCTATCTCTGGCACTGCTGGGGAAGGTTGAGCTGGTAAAGTTGAATTATTACTGATAACGAGGGCTCACTGGAACCAATAAACTGATGAAACAAATACAGTTTGGGATATGTTAATATTAACTAACAGTTAATGTGACTTCTTTGACCTCTTTCAAATTTGTGTCAATCTAGGGTGTTCAAGACTTCTCTGAAAAATTCCCAAGTAATGTCAAATATGCTGGTTTGCCTACTATACTTTGAGTAACAAGGAATTATAACATATGGCCATAGATCCTCTAAAAGAATAGTATTGAGCTAAACAGTGCGCTGAACTTGAACTACAGTGTTGGTTTCATTGCTCTGTTTTGCTTCCATTTTTATAAATTCTCAGAAACTTCCTCTTACTTGCCAAAATTTAGACCCTGCTCATGTTTTTGCCATCTTTGTGTGGTTACTGAAAACAAAGAGAAAACTTTATTTGTAAAGGAAATGCCTAGGAAGCAAAGCTGTCTACTTTTGGGAAGGAAAGGAATCTACTTTTCTGAAGGACGTATTAAAATGAATCATAGAAACAGATTTTGAATTTTCATCATATTTGACCTGACATTTGATTTTCCAGAATGACTAATAAATGAGAGAAGAGAGAAAAAGCAAAGTTATTTGAATATGATCCCTTCACTTCCGTAATCCCAATATAAACTATCTAGGGTTGTGAGGAGACTTTACAACATAAAATCAAACATGTGCTGGTGAGTTTCTAAATCTTATTGTTTTGTCTCTAAGGTGGTGAAGAAACGAGAGGGATAGATGAGGGGCTACAGAGTACAGGAGATGTTTTCACCCTGGGTGACACTCTCTGTTCTCACTCAGGTCCCAGGCTAAGGGGTTTGTTTATCTTCCTTTAAATATTGTCAGAGAAGCTTTTTTTTAAAAAAAAAATAATATCATTTATTATTATTTTATTTTTCCATGAGTTATTGGGGTAGAGGTGGTATTGGTTACATGAGTAAGTTCTTTAGCGGTGATTCAGGAGATCCTGGTGTACCCACCTGACCCAAGCAGTGTACACTTGCACCATATTTGTTGTCTTTTATCCCATTTGTTGTCTCTTGCTCTGCTCCCATTCTTCTCCCCAAGTCTCCAAAGTCCATTGTATTGTTCTTATGCCTTTGTGTCCTCATAGCTTAGCTCCCACATATCAGTAAGAGCATACAATGTTTGGTTTTCCATTCCTGAGTTACTTCACTTTGAATAATAGTCTCCAGTCTCATCTGGGACATTGCAAATGTTGTTAATTCATTCGTTTTTATGGCTGAATGGTATTTTATTGTATATATATATACCAGAGTTTCTTATCCTCTCATTGATTGATGAGTATTTGGGTTGATTCTATAATTTTGCAATTGTGAATTGTGCTGTTATAAGCATGCATGTACAAGTATCTCTTTCAAATAATGATTTCCTTTTCTCTTGGTGAGATTGCTGGATCAAATGATAGTTCTACTTTTAGTTCTTTAAGGAATCTCCACAGTTTTCCATAGAGCTCTACTAGTTTACATTCCCATTAGCTGTGCAGAAGTGTTCCCTGATCACCACATCCACACCAATATCTATTGTTTTCTGATTTTTTTATTATGGCCATTCTTGCAGAAGTAAGGTGGTATCGCATTATAGTTTTGATTTGCATTTCCCTGATTATTAGTGATGTTGAACATTTTTTCATAAGTTTGTTAGCCATTTGTATATTTTCTTTTGAGACTTATCTATTCACGTCCTTAACCCACTTTTTGATGGGATTAGTTTTTTTCTTACCTACTTGAGTTCATTGTGGATTCTGGATATTAGTCCTTCGTCAGATGTATAGATTGTGAAGATTTTCTCCCACTCTGTAAGTTGTCTGTACTCTGCTGACCGTTCCTTTTGCTGTGCAAAATCTCCTTAGTTTAATTAGGTCCCAGCTATTTATCTTCATTTTTATTGCATTTGCTTTTGAGTCATGAAGTCCTTGCCTAAGCCAATGCCTAGAAGGGTTTTTCCAATGTTATCCTCTAGAATTTTTATAGTTTTAGATCTCAGGTTTAAGTCCTTGATCCATTTTGAGCTGATTTTTGTGTAATGTGAGAGATGATGATCCAGTTTAATTCTCCTACATGTGGCTACCCAATTATCCCAGCATCTACTCCCCTCAAGCATCACACTCTAAAATCTCACACAGAAAACTCTTCCCCACAACCAACCTAGAACATAAGGCAGACACTCAGGGGCTAGAACACAAGCAAAAAGAAGCTTTACATTACACTCAGGGGTTGAGGGTACACAGGCATACCCACCACCATTAGAAGGCCATCTCTAACAAGGCGGCACCAACTCAGGCTCAAACTCCAGGGCAAGTTCAGCAGAGCCCACCTTCTTCCTGCTTCTCCCACTATCTTGAAGCCTGGGCTTGGGCCCTCCACCAGAAGTACCTGGTAACCCTGCCCACTCTGGCTCAACTGACTTTTCTTCTGACAGTATGTGAAGAGCAGGTGTGTTACACAGCACTTCTCCAATGGAGGCTCTCTATGTACTGTATACCATTATTAACTTCAGAAGGTGGTGACCAGCTGGTGTTTTCAGCTGGCCAGGCCCAAGCAAGTAACAGATGAGAGAACATGTACCTTGCATACAGAGAGCAGAAAAGCAGCTAACTCAAGTAAAATGTAGCCAGGCAGGAATCTAAACTAGGATAGGTGACTGATAAAGTAATTTGCTATGCCCTTCTATTTCAGCCTGCCAGTCAAGTGGTTGTTCTTCATCTGTCTTTCATTTATTTATATTCTATTCCTTGCCTATTTAAAAAAACGAGAGTGCTTACGACAAAAGTCAAAAATCCAATTGACCCATTAAAACAAAAATGAGAGAACCAAGACTTGGATTGAAGAGCTAGGAAAACACTGACTTATAAAGCCTACGCTATAGAAACATCATTGCAGTCAGCCCCCAAATTAGCTCTGTGCTCCTGGTAGTCAAGATGAAAAAAGGAAAACTAGTGATTTAAAAACTGTCATCTGATAAAAGGAAACACATTTGTTCATTAAGAGAAACAAAAATTTTTCTACCTCTAAACTCTAAGATGATGTCTCCATATACTGGGCTTTTCCAGTTACGATTAAATCATAATCAAGAATGTCCTGTTATTCTGGGAACTGATACTGCCGTATGCTGGAGAGTTAGAAGGCCACTGTCTTGTTTCTGGATTTTACATATGCTGCTATGTAGGGAATATGTAATGATATTATAATGTTGAAAATTATACTTCAGAAATGAAAATGACATATTGAACCTGGAAATCCAAACAACTCTAAGAATTAGCATCTCTTAGAATATCAATGATTTCCATATTACCATCCCAGTATCTTATGGAAGGAAGGTTCATGCATATTAAACATGGGATAGGTGAAGTACATCTCCTGAAATCTACCTTCTCATTTTTCCCCCCACGGATGATGTTTATTTTTTAAGGTTTTATTTTGGTAATTTAAAAAAATTGTGATAAAATAGACATAACATTAAAATGACCATTTTAACCATTTTAAGTGTACAATTCAATGGCATTA